TCCAAAATAAATTGTTCGTCAACATTGCCACTTTTACTCCTCTATGAGATCGCATAATTAGAATTTCAATATGACGTTTAGTCTGTTGTTCTCCAGCAATAACTTCATTTCTTAATGGACGCCATATTTAATTTTAGCACAGATAAATAGAGTTTTTAATTCTGATTCGAAAAATGTATAATATATAATAGTTATTTAAAAAAAAGCGGAATGTCCTAGGTAGGCCTCGAAATTATCAGATAGTCCTTTGTTTTGTATACCAGAACAAACCTCAAATTGAATAATAGTAACAGAATATTCTTTAAGGATTCCGGGGGCTCAGTTTCGTGATAATTTAGAAGTAGTATAACCCTTCAAACGGACGCTGCTGAATTTTGGGGGTTGACACGGTAGCAGCGCGACAGGTACCTTCATCCATCTCTCTCCGAGAAACAATTGCCTGCGCGTCATCCAGGTGACACCTGGCGGCAGCATCACAGCATATCATGAATAAAAATCGTGTTCTGAGAAACGGACAGGCAGCAGGTCGTCGCTAACGTGGCAATTTGTACGCTACAGGGAGGTATATGAGAGTGATTTTTGTCACTTTGTATTGCATCCAGGATTGCCATGGAACATTTATAGCGTCAAGTGGAGCTTTTAGGGCTTCCGAAACACTTGGCCGGAACTCTAGCGTTAGCCTGGCTAATATTACGCCTCAGAGTATGGTTGAAACATTTGTAGAATCGATAATCGAGAATGTTGAAACTACTTTATATCGCTTGCATACAGGGTGCTTCCGAGTAGCATTCCAGGCTCGAGCATGCATGTACAACACAAAAACATAATGCCAAAGGTCTCTAAAAATGTCCTAAGCGCTCCACTACGGACATACAGGCTTCTAAAGGACTATGCTGGAAATTCGTTTTCTCAAATAACCCTTGAATGACATTATAGGATTAAATAGGATCAAATCCGCACAGGAAACGGATTTGGTCTTATATAAGAAAAATGAATTAAGATTTAGCGTGCGTTTTAATGGAAAATCGGCTATAATATAAGGCAGGATAACTATGGTAAATATATTGCTACTTGCATGGACTCCAAGCAGACTTTCAAAAAAAATTAAGTCATCCAAGCAGAGATTTGCTCAAACGAATGAGTATTATGACTGTGTACTTATTATATATCTATTGGAGTGTAATCTATAGTTCGTTTTCTGACATTTCAGAGAATCGCGATCATTTTTAGAAAAAAAATTGTCTTTATATCTATTGATAGTAGATATCACCATAAACACTTCCATTTTAGAAGTGGCATTATTGGTACTCCCGGATATAAGCGTATTTTAGCATTGTCAACCCATGTCACAAGCTTGCTTCAATAACGAAGGGTTCTAGTATCGTGCCTTAAGATTGTTCGACCACTTACCGATATTCATCGTTGAAAGCATCTCATCATTCAAACGCAAAGTACACGCTTTTCTGTTAGCATATCAGTTGTACTCATTAGACGAGGATTTATCACAGTCATTTTAATTCGTGTTTTTCAAAGTGTTCTTTTTGTGTGTGTCGGATAAATCAGACTCACTTTTGACTACTGTCGACATTTGTTATGAGTTTTACGGAAAATAAATTATTATTATTGTTAATTCAAAGAACTTAAATTAATTGGAACCCAACATGGAACATAATTCACATAAACCTTTTGGTTGTACTGAAACCTGATTTCTATACAATTTTTTTCCACTCTGTACTAGCTATCCAAATCTTGGATTGAATCTTTCGAAGTAGGTCTCGTACCTTAAGGAAATTATACGACAAAGGCAAACATACGAAAAAAATTGTTACGTATCATTGACATGCATTTATCATTTGAGATATCTCACCACCTAATAAGAATTGCGTTCTCAAATACCACCTATCTCCAGTCAGTTTATCATTTGAGTGGTATGACAGGTTGAGGAAAGTCATCTCTGCTTAAAATATTTAGAGGATTGTTCCATTGCGTACACTTTTTATCAGAGCAATACTCTACAAATTTAGCCAAATTAAAATTCAAATGTATTGCTGCGAATATGTATCATGTGGTTGCACAGGTCAAAGACATAGAAGTCAAATCGAACTTAAAATAAAAAATCACATTTAAAACAATAGAGACAATAAGACAACAAACAACAATATAAAAGTTTTGATATGTTATGTATTCTGGAGAAATTCTTAAAAATGCTTTCCACCTTGCCATTGAATTGACATGTCTCTGATACTTTTCGGTAGAAAATTTTAGACCTTGTTACTCTGTAGACTCCGAACATCAGGTTAGCCGAAGGCACCCTGGCATTAGTCTACTCTTGTATCTGGTATGATGCTCGTGAGCGTCATTGTCCATTCTAAACATGGTGAGATTGTTGTTATGGAGAAGGCAATTAACAATATACTGGGATGGGAATGTTAAAATCCCTAGGTATTAAAAGTGTGCCTACAATCAGTCCTTAAGACCAATCTCGCAATTATCTGGATGGCCTTCCTCTGCAGTCCAAAGACAAGATGTGACTGCTTCGCGCAACTCCAGATCAGTATAGCATATGATACAGATGATGGAACGAAATAATCCATAATAAGCTGTTGTTGACACAAATTTGCCAGTTCCACTGCAGACCCTTCTGCCACATATATATATATATATATACATATATATATATTGTGCGGTTGTCTTTGAACCAGTCAAAACTTGTCTATTAGCTTGCAGAGCTACAAGAGTGAGGGATCCTTATGTCGATATACGAGGTCTGTTAAGTAATGATTGATTGATATTGTATTCTAAAAATGAGCGACATCAACTTGGAGCAACGGTATGCTAGCAGGTTTTTCTTCAAACTTAGGCACAGTGCAAAGGAAACTCTTGCTAAACTTCAGCAGGTATTGTTTAGTCAAGAACCCAGGAGTTTTGACGGTTTACGGTATTTTCAAAACGGAGAGAGTCGATTGAAGATGAACCACGAAGCGAAAGGCCTTCACCCTCAAGAACCGACGTAAATATCGACAGAATCCGGGATCTTGTACATTCAGATCGTTGGTGGGACAGTCAGAATGATCGGAGAAGAGTTAAATTTGGATAATACCACCATTCACCAGATCAAAAACAACTGCGTTTTTCAAGACAGTTCTCCTTGTCACACAGCAATGTCAATAAATGTCCATTAAAATCATTTCTGTGGCTCCCTATCCTCCTCATTCTCCTGACTTGAGTTCTTATAACCTTTTCCTTTTCTCGAAGTTGAAAAAACACCTAAATGAAAATAAAAAAAAACAGTCTCATCACTTAATTTACGGGCTTCGTATAACCTAGTCTGTAATGTTTGTAACAGGTGGGTATCTAAAACTTATTGCGAAAATAAAACTAAAGATATAGAATTCAAAGATTCACTAACATTTTGGACATCCCCCGTTGTGTTACAAATATTACACAAAAAGTTTATCGTCATCGGCTTTTTTTGATTTGTACTTTTGAAAATTTCACCGAGATGGCCGAATCTCCGATTTAACACCTGAGAAATAATGTTGCCTGCCTAATGAATGTCATGTGTTGGGTAGAATGAAAAGAAGAATGCCACTAGGTCATCTGCTGTCTAGATATGGCACCGTCGAATGCACTAATAAGGAACTATATAACAATAAACTATTAACTAATGTAATGTTGTCGCGCAAAAAACAAATACATAAGATACTTGTACATTAATTAGTTTTGCTATCCGTTGACACAGTACCTTGAAGATATAGATACCGTCAACTTCAGACAGTAACAAGCCTGTTGATCTGATAAAAACCGCAGTGCGTATATATACCTTTTTTAAACCGAACCAGCTGCGTAGACAGAAGCCTAAATATCGAGACACCGCTGCTATGAGGAGCTTAAAGACACTTTGTTAATTCGATTTTTGAACTGCCTAAGATTAATCGAGCAGCCTCGTCAGGCAGATTGTTTCACAATCTCATAACTCTAGGAACAAAGGAGCGGTCGTACTGGCCAGTTCTGGACGTACGAAGTTCGACACGGTTAGGATCAGGGCCGAAACCAGTGGCAGGCTCAATGCGCGACGGCTTCCTGGAGGAGAGCTCTGATGAGCAAAGCCCGTTGTCATAGCGCAAGAGCAGAGCCAGATCGCCGACAGCCCGTCGATGCGAAAGAGGCTCGAGACTGAAACTTGCAGGTCAATAGGGAGATGAGTTTATAAAACTTTAATACAATTTACCCATACAATAAAACTTTTTTTGTGACCCCTGAAAACATATAGAGTGAACATAACATCCGAAACGTACCCTGAGGTGTACGTCTTGTTGACCACCAAATGAAATTACATGTGTTGGATCGAATGTTGCCAATGTTTCGATACCTTTGTTTCAGGTACAAATCTTTGACATTGTCTTCTTCCATTTGTACCTTGGAGAAGACCACCGAGGTGAGCGAAACCTTAGTGAACATATGTCGTTTTATTTGACGGCCAACAAAAAATATCTAAATTTACATCTGCAAATCATAATTACTACGTATGTATATGGTTGTTCTTTATATAAAAGTCTTGTACTTTCTTCTATAAAAACTCAGAAATACCTATCAGAATGATCCTAGAAAACAAGTATTTGGAGTTGAGGTTTATGAAGAAAGTAATCTACCAAGAGTTTCTTTTGGTATTCATCCAAAAAGAAATAATTGCGTATTTGAATACAGTTTCCAATAGCAGAGAAACAAAAATTTCATCTTTGAATCACTGCAAACTGAGAGTTAAGACTCAACTGACAATTCGATAGGCTTTGGTATACCCCAAGGCCTAGCTGTTACTACCTTACAGTTCCCGAACTTTTGGGAGGCCACCCAGGTAACTCCCTTAGATAATAAGATACTTAATAATAATAATAATAATAATTAACGTCTTTTATTTGTAATATTTTGCAGTCCGGTGACAAGCTGCCTCTATGATATATAGCTTTGCAGTTTATCACTGTTACCTATTCGGAATTTCAAAATAATTGGCTTGATAACAAGCATAGGCAGACAATAAAAACTGCAATACTTAGTAATATTATTCAACATTATTAAACTATAAGCTACTCCAACGCAAAGTCCAGAAGAATGAAGTGCGTCAGTGTCTTCTTCATTGCCATTTCGCTGATATTTGCAATCCTTTTAGGTAAGAATTCTTAATACAGTTGGAATTCCGGTACATCAATCACATCAATCCAAAAAACCATTGATTATTTCAGATGGATACATAAATCACCTGCTTGTGGCTATCTTACAACAGTTGTATTAACAAAACAGGCCAGTGTTATTGATGTACATTCGCAAAGTGTTAGCGCTTTCATGCTTTTTGAGATGTCAGCGGCTATTTTCATCAAATGGCCACTGACATGCAATTATCTGGATGCATTCATTGAATCACACATTATTGGCAGTGTAGATAATCTGATGGTTTCCTTCTAGCATTGATTAGCATATTTTATCAAAAGATAAAAAACCAATTATTGAAATCTGTGCCTGTACCTATACTGTGCAGCTGACAACTGTTTTATGCTTTTAACACTATAATATGCCTGCCAGGCACCTTATAGGTGATGTCCACATAACCTAGAAATTTGGAGGAAAGTCCAAAAATCAAGTAGTTCTTATTAACTTGGAATAAGCTCAATATAAAGATTAAGATATTAATAAAAATTCATATTACGGTAAAAAACAGTGGCGTGCTTTGTGTTAAATGGTTTTTTTTGTTGCTATTTACAAAATTGGACTTACTCTGATATTATTATTTGTCATTACCTTTAAACATATTTGACACATCATTCCCAAGTACATTAGCTCATAAAACAAAATATTGTGAGCGTACCTCTGGTATTGTGTATCCCTATGATATTGCCGTGACGACTGACCGGGTCAGGTGAAAAATGTCTATTGACTAATTGTATGAACCTGTTTGAGTAACTTTTTTCTCAGAAGGTCAAGTTTGTGCTGAGCATTATCCTTAATGAACCGATAACGGCGATGCGTGTAAGTGCCATTTCTGGCCTTGGCATAGTAGTAATCTTGTGTAAACATTTTGGCAAAACCTTGCGTATAGACTGACAGTCAGACAAATGAGTAACATGGTCTTTCGCGATGTCCATGTCAAGAAACATACCACAATTTACGCAACGAACGTACGGTGTGATAAAACAAGTGACAGGTTAGCTCGATTTACACCGCATCACTACCTGCAAAGCCGAAGATGCGTTATCGCCAGTGGCGTGTAGGTTTTAAAGTTAATTGAGGTATCATTTAACTTATTTTCACTGTTTCTTCTACCTTTTCATTAATTTCAAGGTGCTATAAGGTTTATTACATTGATATATCAAATATGCTGCCCCAGTTTGTGATTCGTTAACTTTAATCAAGTGTAATCCTGACCGTTTATTTCGGCAATCCACAAGTCAAACCAAAACTGATAACGTTAAAATCTTTGACAGGGGGCTCCTTCGAAATTAGCGATCAGGATTAACACATTATTCGGATAATCTACTTTGAAGTCTATCCGGATAGAGCCGTCAAAAGAAACATGGTAATTATATAAGTATGTTTAGGGATACCGTCGTAGTTATTCCTATATTTCCCCTTTTCTGTTTCCACTGTTTGGTGCTTTATCAATACGCCTACTATGGTAAGAAGCATTGTCCATAACAATGACAGCGTTCTCTTCTAGACGGCTAATAATATTCTCAAACCATTGTTCAAATAAATTGGCATCTGTATCGGCGTGGTAGTCTCCTGCTTGATTTGATTCAAATACCAATAGTCCGTCTTCCACGAAGTCAGTATCAGATCCGATGTGAAAGATAATTGGCCGTTTCCTTTCCCTGAAGGATTTTTTAATCCCGCGGAGAGACCTTCCAGGAAGGCTAGCGTGAAAAGTAAAAGTATTCAGTTTTTGTTCTAAATGAATTTATGCGATAATGGCTGTAACAATGAACATTTTGAGTAAATCCAGCTCATGGTTGTTGAATACGTTAATTCAATGTTTTTAGAAAGTACTGTTTTTTATTATTTGTATGTTTCTTTTTACAGCAACGCCAACTGTACAAGCAGAAAAATGTAAGTCTCCCAGAAATTGCAGTAAGCAATTTAAAAAGTCCTGCGCCGGTGCTGCCGCTGCTTTCCCTACAGGATCAAAAGTAGTATGTTACAAGGGTGAATGTGAATGTCATACCAATGGGTAGTTATAAGGTTAAAATATAGCCTGAGATCCTATAAGTTGTGTATTTTTTATTAGGATTTTAGTATTAACCCTCCAATTCCCATCAGTGAGAAAACCTGATCAATTTAACAGTTGTTCTGGAAAGTTTTTGTTACCCGCTATATTTTTCGGAAGTGCTCTATGTAACTAGGTTATTCGGTTTACTTGAACTGGATTTTGTGGAAGCAGTTCAATTGAAAGTAATATACTAACCTATGTGCTAAAAATTTATCGGATTTTTTTTAATGAAGACATTTATTTAAACGCTAACTAGTTATAATAAATTACGACTCAATACTTAACTAAACTATACTATCGAAATATGTGGCTTCTGCTGTACCAGACGCTACTTTCTTCGAATGTCTCTCATGAGGTCCTGGGTGGAATTCAGATCAAATTCTCTCAGTTTTTCGTGAATTCGTCGTCTTAATTGTTCTTAATCTTATAATTTTTGAGAACAAAAAGTATGTTTTGGGCCTCTCTTGAGTACGACGTTAAGTCTGGCCATTATCATGATGTTCATGGACAAACTGAAGCAATTTTAAAGGCAGGTATCAATATAGCTCTGACTATTCACCCCTACCTCTTTCTACAAAAGGTTGTGATACACCCGTGTTAGAAATTGCGCACCAGACAATGATTTTATCTGCAAATTTCGCTTTGTGTTTGTCAGGACATTCATCTACGATGTCCGCATAAAATCCGACGTTTCCCTTCATTTCAGAATTACTCGAAGTGCGTCTCAGTTGGCGACAGCATCTTGGCGTACAAAGGAGTTGCGCTTGAGAGTATTTGTGGCACTTAAGTATCTTTCGGTATGTAAGACCATTCCTCCTCAATTCCAATGATATCGTATTCTTATAAGATCTGTATTGACCAGCCAGTCTCCTTGTTGACATTCCAACCTGATTTTTCTCTCTGACTTTTGTGGTGGTATTCCACTTTTGGGGAGATTCAGACATGGTATTCCCTGCTATTGTTCGATAAATGGTTATGCGTGGAATGTCTTCATCCTGGAATATTCGACAGATTCCAGCTTTGGGTACCCGCCAGCCAACTTGTAGGCACTTTTTCTTGTTTCTAATTTATACGACATCTTAAAGCGAAAACTTCAAAATAAATAAATGTCAACTGACAGTAAAGTAAGTAAATAATATTGTTTCCAAAGGCAACTTGAGGCTATTTTGTGTTTGTTAGGCCAATAGATTTTGTGCCACAACATTTAAAACATGCGTTATTAAGCTAATTTGATTGAAAATAGCAAACTATGCGCCTGTTCCAGCAATCTGTTTAATTAGTTTAGGTAATTTTGTTTATCTAGTAAAGGTTTTAATATAAGCTAATTTGCTTGAAAAAAGCAACCCACCATACGCAATAGTTTAGGCAATAGTTTACCAGAAACACCTATTATTGACATAATCACTCCATCACCATCTCACAGTCTATCTACAGACATTCAGATAAACAGACATAACTTGCTGACGCATACTCAAGACCCCTTGAGGGGCTAACTGCAAGGAATCCTGCAGGAGTCCTACACACCTACTAGCCATGTTCACACATCATAGGTTTTCCCATATATTTGTCTTAAAACTTGCCGCGTCTAACGACACGAGAATGGGCAAAGTTGCCAGATGGACAATAACTACGGGTTGTCTGACTTAATACGTTGATTTTAACGGAAAGGGGGTGATGCCGTAAACCAGCATTATCTATTGCATCTTCCCTTCCATTAAGATGGCTGCACCGGTTACTGGAATCACTCAGTGATGATGAATGATGAAATCACCGACAGATAGACTGTGGGAGTAGGTGACTTGGACTACATAATAAATACCATAAATCTTACTTAGTCACGCGTCGCGGTAACAAAACTGGATTTACTTTAAGATGATATTCTTGATCATGTATCATAATTATGAAGTTATTTTAACGTGAAGAAATGTATCTTGTTTACGTGGACAACATACGTAGCGTGTGGAGTATGCTGCGAGGTGGTTTCGATAACAACTTTGCTTCATACTCCAAAAACCATCAATGTGTCGGAAATATGTAAAGAATGAAGAAAATTTCGTTCCCTACAAGAAAACGGTAGTGTTTTATACACTGAGGGCGGAGAACACCAACCAGGATGATTCAAAACTAAATTCGTCTTTTGCTGCCGACATATGAAATTCCTGGTAAAATTGGTTCCGTATACCAATGTAGAACAGCTGCGAGCTTCAGTATTAAGAATACTATCTCATGATTCGAACACAAAACTCCTGAAGGCGCTAATTCCATATATCTTCAGCAATCTACTAGAAATAGGAATAGAAATAGAAATTTATTGGTTTCTCAGCTATAAAATGCAACAAGAAATTTACAACAGAGATAACACGTCATTGTGGTAGAATGTAATTTTTTTTAAGGTACATACAAAACAAACATAACAATCATAGACGACATATAACACTACGATATTGGTAAAAGTTACGGTTTCACTAGAGTATCTTCAATAATATACAGGGTGTTCTATAATTATTGCGACAAAATGATAGGGGTTGTAGAGGGCATCAAAATGAACAATTTTGCCTTATAAACCCCTGTTCGGAAATATGCCGTTTGGGATGCAGCAAAAAAAAAGATCAGTTTCTTGAAACAGCTTACCTACAGTAATTGCTCAAAGTGTCCTCCACCTTGCTCAATACACAGCAGTGCACGATTGTTCAATGATCGGCGAACTCTGTGGCATACCCCCGGTATGTCCTGAACATGTGCGGACGCGGCCATCACTCTTCCCAGTAGCTCTTGTTGGTTGGGAACAGTAGTTTCGTACACTAACGCTTTCAGATGGCCCCAGAGAAAATAATCCAGTGGGGTCAGGTCGGGTGACCGCGCAGGCCAAGGCACAGGGCCACCTCGGCCTATCCACCTATTTGTCGTCCAAATACTGCCGCACTTGTAAAGAAAAGTGGGCTGGAGCGCCATCGTTTTGAAACCACGTGTTGGCTCTTATGTTCAGTGGCACATTTTCTAATAGTTCCGGTAGCACATGCTGTAAGAATCGACCATAAGCATGCCCATCCAAACGTGGTGGAAGCAAATATGGCCCGATGATATGCTCGTCCACAATGCCGCACCAGATGTTAATTGAAAACTATGTTGGTCTCTATGGATGGCTATGCATGAGGGTTTTCTTCATCCCAAATGTGACTGTTACGGCTATTAAAATAACCGTCCTTTGTGAAACAGGACTCGTCAGTGAACAAAACGTAGCGACCAAAGTTTGGTTGCCTCAACTCCTGCTGCAGCCACCAACGACAAAAACGTCGACGCGGCAGATAGTTTTCTGGACCCATGGCTTGGACTTTCAAAAGGTGGTATGGGTGTAGTTGCTGGTCATGGAGAACCCGCCAAGCAGTAGTTTGAGACGCTCCCATTTCATGTGCAATAGCACGCACGCTTGTACGCGGATTGGCATCTAGTTTGACGCACCACTCAGATAAATTAAATGAATCGGTGTGGAGAATTTACGATAACAAAAATGTAAACACAGCAGGCTTTTTTTCACAAATCGGCGAGACCATGAAATGTGCTAGACGAACATTTTGCAGCTGTTGAATTTTTTGTTTCTCTTAAGGTAAAATTAGCGGTAGTGCTCAAACGGCATATTTACGAACAGGGGTTTATAAGGCAAAATTGCATATTTTTATGCCCTCTACAACCCCTATCATTTTGTCGCAATAATTATGGAACACCCTGTATAGTTCCATTTCGCATATACATTTATGAATGCTTTTTCAGATCTAGGGAGTGCTGAAATGGATTGACGATGTTGAGGTAAAGCATTTTAAAGTTTCGGTGCTGAGTAACGTGGACATTTTTCGGTATAATTTAGCTTATGTGATGGGTATTTCTAACTTCTGCGAGTATTGTAACTGTGGTTAAAAACGTTTTTTGGAAACGTTTCTTTATGGTTAAAGATAAAGAGTACAGTGTTATAGATATAAATTTCCGGCAATCTTAATAAGCTGTTGACTTTAAAAATACTTCTACGTGACTCTCTAGGTAACATTTTGAACATGGTTCTTATTATCCTCTTTTGTATGATAAAGATCCTATTGGCTGCGGAACTATTACCCTAAATTGTTATTTGATAAGACATAATAGAATACACCAGCCCGCAGTCAGCAGTCTGCACAACTTGCAAGGGCAGATGACAAGTGAGTACTCGTAGTGCAGAGCATGCTTGATTAAGTTTTGACGCCATACTCTCACTGTGCTTATGAAACCTAACACAGCTATCGATGTAACACCCAGGAGGTTTGTATCGCTTTTGACCCATAGAGGTTCATTAATTAAGGGTAGTTCTTTGGTGGCACGACTTGACTACAGTAGAACACAGCACGTTTTTTGTATGTTGAATACTAACTTATTCACCTGGAGCCAGTTTTGAATATGGTTTATTTGCGTCTCTGTCAAGATTCGGATATCAGTCGTTCCTTTCTATGGTATAGAACAGTTATGTCATCTGCATAGATGAAACTTACATTTTGCATGTTCCTTGTGGTGGTGGATATATTATTAATATAAATGATAAACAGTGTTGGGTCCAGTACTTGAGGAACACCAGTACTATATGTCCGAAGACTAGATGTTATTCGTTTCCCTGTTTTGTTCGAAATTACTTTCTGTCTATTACAGAGGTAAGATTTAATGCCAGAAGTATGCATTCCCGCGTATGCCATATTTATATAATTTATTTAGCAATATTTCGTGATCAATGCAATCAAATGCTTTTGATAGGTCCACAAATAAACCACATGCTGCTCCTTGAGTTTCTCGATATTGTGAAATCAAAGTGCTGTGTTAACACCTATACGTTTCATGGAGCCATGTTGGTTATTGAGAAAGTATCTGGTTGATTCGGAAAAAATTATAAGATGGTTGTTATAAGCAATTTCAAAAATGTTAGAGAAATTTATCAGTAAGCTTATAGCGCGGTAGTTTTCCATATCATTAGGAACGCCTTTTT